AATTAAAAAAAGGGAGATCCCCAAATTTGAAGATGGTAGCATACTAGCATTGGAGAAAAATGATGTAAATGGAGATAATCCCCAAATTTGGAGATCAAAGTCCCTAAATTTAGGTATTAGAATTGGAGTTGGTCTAAGCAGCATGCTAATCCTTGTCAGCGCGGTAGCTCTTGCATCGTTCATTGCAGGAGATAACTTCTTAACTAGCTATGTTTTGCTTAACCTTATTAATTATCTCCTATAATAGGATCCCCTGATAATTGGTTTATAGTTGCATTACTCTTTAGTTGGATCAGACAAATCAAATATTCTAAGTCATAAACACACACTTCTCTTTGATTTAATGGAGTTTTCAATTTCATGGAGAAAGATCGTTCATGAAATATTGTTCTGAAGCAATCTTTCATGAAACAATACTTTATGAATGAAGACAACTTTTTATAAAGCAATGTAATGTTTCAAGTTGAAATAATGTAAAAATTGACCCTATTAATATATGTGGAAATGATGATGCAACTAGGGCCTTAAAAAAAATTCCCCTTCTGTCTAACTTATAAATTTGCTTTTGCATTTTAAGCTAGAACCTAAAATGGTGATAATTTAACCACAAAAGAAAAAAAATTAACCCAAAATTTTGTAATGGATAAAAATATTATTTATGAAAATGAACATAACTAAGGAGCCACGACCATATTAAAATAATAATCTTTCAATTTCAAACGATCATACGACACCTAGATTTTTTTTTTGTACTTTTAATTACTTTTGGCGGTTCCCGCCTCCACCAATAATAAAAGAAAAAGATATCTATGAATAGGGATGTGAAAAAAATAGTGATTCAGCGAAGGTGCTGAAAGCAAAATAAAGAGGGATAGTGGGAAGTGGGAACTGCATGTGGGTAAGTGGGTGGGGAGGCAAGAAAGGAACCCAGAAGGTAGGGGTGGGCAACGAAAATGAGTATTTGGGTATATCCATACTCGTCCCATTTTTTTAGGGTTACGGGTACCCAAATAGCAAATACTCGTAAATTTTTTTATGGGATGAGCCTTTAGATCAACAATCACCACTTTGGTTACCCGCGGGTTACCCATTAATACCCGTTTGGGTATTACGGGTACCCGTTATACCCATTAGTCAAAAGGGTTTGGTAACTTACTTGTGTGTAGAGTTTTGCAGAGAGTATATATATAAGACGATCAATTTAATGAAGAAGCCAACCCTAGTGTACTAGGAAGTGCTGCCACTATGTTGGTTCACGATGATGAGGTTGGTGATTGTGTAGCAAGGGTCGTTGTATAAGCAAGTTGACATGTAAGCCTTAATCGTGTTGATTCATATAGGCCCACCGCAGTAAGAGGCCCATGTATATATGTCCATGTTCATGTACGTAGAGGAGTTAGGGTTTGTGAAGTAGGGTTTTGGGTTATGAAACCTATATATATTACTTGTACTCTGTATGCCGATTTAAGAAAATAAGAGAGTGTACCTGCTTTAGCCGTGGACTAGTCTCGTTCATCCTGAATGAGGAAACCACGTAAACCTCTGTGTCAGTTTTGCATTCCATTTTCGATTCAGTTCCGTTTCGTTACATGGTATCAGAGCTTGCTATGGATTCTGATCATATCTCCGTACGACTTACCTCAAAGAATTATGCTCTTTGGGAATTCCAGTTTCGAATTTACATTGAAGGAAAAGGGTTACTTGGCTATATTGATGGCTCTGATCCGAAACCCACCTCGCCGCCTGGAACAGCTGAAGCCTTGCGGAAGTGGCACCTAGAGGACGCCAAAGTCAAGACTGCCATTTTGAATTCCGTTGATCCCACCATAGTGCTGGCACTCCGTCTCCTTCCCACGGCTGCTGCGATGTGGAAGCAGCTCACCGAAACGTATGCCACCGCCACAGCCGCTCGACAATATGAAATTGAAGTCGAACTCTCCCAGCTTCAACAAGGCGATCGAGATGTAGCATCTTATTTCAATGTCGCGTGTCAGCTCTGGATCGAGCAGGATTTGGTGATGGCCTCGCTTCAATCCCAACCTGTCTCCGCTGAGATGCAATCGGCGCTGGAGAGGACCCGCTTGTACCAGTTTCTCATGCGCCTTCATCCTTCCTTCGAGCCGGTCCGTGCAACACTGCTGAATCGGGAGTCCCTGAAGACAGCCAAAGTTCTCATCTATTTGGTGCGGGAAGAAACACGCCTGCGCACGCTGGCCTCCCTTGATAGTCGCCCTGGTCACGGCGACGTCTTCTTTGCACCTGAACGGGGAAGCAGCCGGCACGCAAGTGGTGGACAGCGCGAGTTCTCCCGCAAGGAGGATGTGGCGGACGAATCTTCCGAACCTAATGGCACTGTTTATGCTACTGGTCGGGGCCAATTCCAACGTCGCGTCTCTTCTAGGGAGGTTGAATGCCATTTTTGTCGTCGTAAAGGTCATACATAAAAATTTTGCAGGACCAGGAACTTTTGTGTGTAATGCAAGAAATCAGGACATATCATACCTGATTGCCCGGTGCTTCAAGGTCGGATTAGAGAGGGCAGCTTACCTGGAAGCGCCCCTGGGTCTTCGTCTGGTCCTCCTCACCGTCACCCAGCTCCAGCCTACGCCGGGACTCCAGCCCTGCCCACCGACAGCCCCATCATCTCTGCGGACAACCTTGAAAAGCTTATGAGTAAAGCAATCGCATCTGTGTTTGCTAGTCTCGAATACTTTACATGTGCCTAACCATTGACCGCGTCAGCATTTTAACGGTCAATGGGGCTCGAATACTTTACAAGTTGCTAATGGGGCTCGAATTCTTTACCACGTCATCATTTTAACGGTCAAACTTAACCATTGACCGCCACATAGGACAGATTTAACGGAACTACACGGCGAGTGACCAAAGATGATATAAACGAGTAGTATCAGTGGCTAAATTTAAGCGAAAGTTATTTGGGCGGCTAACTTGTTACAAATAGATAATATGAGTGACCAAACTTGCAATTCACCTCACTGATGCATTTTAGATTGATCGTCTCCTATTTGTACCCAACCATACACACCGACAACTTAATTCCCCTATCTCATATGCCCCGTATAATTTACCAAAGAGGCAAAGATGTCCAAGTAAAACCTGTTGAACCAATCTTTTCCTTTCTACAGAGGATAAAGAAAAGTTACGGTTAGCAATATTTAAGATGCCTCGTCTTGTTCGTTCTTTGTTGGTGAAGAGCCTAAATGGAGGACCAACCAGAGAAAATGCTTGATTCAGCTTGGCCCCCTCCAATGCTGTCAAAATCGCGCTTTAAAGCGTAAAATCGTACGTTTTTACCATTTTAACCCACAAATACGCTTTAGTTTCTACGTGAATTCGCATTTTATACAAAATCGGACAAAAACGGTCGTAAAATCGGTAAAAGCGTAAAAAAACGTTAAAAACGCGATTCTTGCCCGTTTTTATACGATTTTGAGTGCATTCCGGAAATGGCCAAAATGAGCCAAAACGACGCCGTTTTTTAAGGTGTTTCAATTAAAAAAAAAAAACGAGAACGAAATGGGTCGAGTCGACAGAAGGGTTTCATTTTTACCCTAATTCTTCTTCTCCTCTCTGCAGAATCACCACCCTTCCCGGCGGCGCCTCCTTCCTTCTCCCACAACGCTGCTGCGCCGGCGGCGCCTCCTTCCTTCTCCCACAACGCGCCGGCGCCTTCTTCCTTCTCCGCAACTGCGCCGTCGTCCTTCCCCATTCGCGCGTCGTCGTCTTTCCCCAATCCCCATCAACATTCGCGGCTGCATAAGGAACCGCCGAGCGCCGACGCCGTCCTCACTCCTCAGCAACTCTTTCCCGCCGCCGTCCTCCAGCCTCATCGTGCTCTGCACTCTGCAGTCTCATCGTAAGTCTTTCTTTCTGTTTTCTCCTCCTGTTCTATTCTGTTCCTACTTTCCCAGACCCACCACCGCATCAATTAGTTGTTTTGAATCACTTTTCTTCTTTATATGAAATCAAATGCATCAATTAGGTGGGAAATAAGGAAGAAATTGGCTGATCTCATTCAGATTTCAGATTATTGAATAAGACAATTAAATAAAATATATTTAATTGATCGTTACATGAAATATAATCAAAGAATTCAGCCAAAGTTTGCAGCTTGCTGTTCTTGGAATTGGTATTAGCAAAACTGAATTGCTTGGATTTGAATGTCTGTTTTCTTTTTGCAGAATTGTACTAATGTCGAGCGGTGGTGTCGGTACTAGTGCAAGTAATTCTGTGGCAAATAGTAAAGCAAAGAGGAAAAATGCACCGGGAAATCGTAATGATCCCGGTTGGCAGCATGGTGTAGATGTACTTGGCACTGGGCAGAAAGTGAGGTGCAATTACTGTGACAAGGAAGTATGTGGTATTTCCCGATTCAAGCATCATCTTGCAGGAACAAGAAAGGATTCTGTGGCTTGTGTTAGTGTTCCAGATGAAGTGAGGGCAAAAATGCTAGAGCTACTCCATCTGAATGAAGAAGGGAAGGAGGCTAAGACAAGGAAGCTTCATGATCTTGGTCTTGGTGGGAATGTAGATGATAGTGATGTTCCAAATCGGGATTCAGTTCATTCAAATGTGGCTGGAGGCAGTGGCAGTAGTAAACAAAAAACAATAAGTGCACTTTTGAAGAAAGATCTCCGAGACAAGGCTTGCAAGACAATATCACAATGATGGTATGAAAATGCACTTGCATTCAATGCAACTAGAAGTTCTAAATATAACCAGATGTGGGAAGATGTAGCTCGACATGGTCCTGGTTTTAAACCTCCTTCATATCATGAGATTAGGGAGACTTATCTGAAAGAAGAATTGAAGGAAGTGGAGAGTAAATTGCAGGTGTTTAAAGCTGAATGGAAGGCGGTGGGTTGCACTACAATGTTGATTGCCATGATGAGGGGGTTCACTGAAGGGAAAGATTTGGTTAGACCTGCAGTTACTAGATTCGCTACATCATATTTGACCTTGGCATCTCTCCATGACAACAAAGGTTCCTTGATGAGAATGTTCTCTTCTGACAAGTGGAGGAAGAGCGGCTTTGCTAAGCTTCGGGAAGGGAAAAGAGTTCAAGCGATAGTACTTGATGGCAGATTTTGGCAAGATGTGTCAATTTGCCTTAGAGCTTCTCAACCTCTAGTCAAGGTTCTACGCTTGGTTGATTCTGATGAAAAACCAGCAATGCCTTTCTTATACTTTGAGATGATCCAAGCAAAGGAGAAGATTAAGAGCAACTTCAACAATGTGGAAAAAAGGTAATTTTTCACACTTAGTTTTCTTATTGTATTATGAGACAAATCTCTATGTTTTTATTATTTTAAGTTGTTTAATTTATTGTCTTTTATGTAGATATAAACCTATCTTGAAGATAATTGACAAAAGGTGGGAAGATCAAATGAGTAGGCCCTTTCACTATGCTGCATATTGGTTGAATCCCCAAATTCACCATTCTCATGGTATGGGATTTAACTATAATGATCCAAAGGTGAAAGTAGCTTTGTATGAATGTGTGAGTAGAGTTGCAAAGGATGATGAAGAGAAGTTTAGGATTATGGAACAGTTGCATGTATTTCATCATGCTCAAGGCATGTTTGACAAATATGGTGCAATGACCTTAAAGGATAGGCATCATCCTGCTGATTGGTGGACTTCATTTGGAGATGAAGTGCCAGAGCTTCAAAAATTTGTCATCCGAGTGTTGAGTTTGACTTGTAGTGCTTCTGGGTGTGAGCGCAATTGGAGTGCATTTGAGAGGGTAAGTAACAAATTGCCTTTACTTTATTTAATTGATATCAATTATCATGTTTGTTGGTTATAAGTTTACAAGGTTGGTTTGTTTGTCATTCATTATTTTTACATGTTAACTTTTTTTTTAGATTCATACTAAGAAAAAGAACAGCCTTCAAACACAAAAGATGAATGATCTTGTGTATGTCATGTGCAACAACAAGTTGGTGGGAAGTAATGTCAAGAAAGCAAGAAGGCTTGAAATTGATTTTGAGGATATAGACTCCGAGAATGAATGGATTTGTGGTAGTGACACTGAAGAAGAAACATCACTAGCTGAAGCTTTAGGAGTTGATGGTGGTGAGGAAGGTCATCATGCTGTTGAAACTGGTCCTACTATTTCTATTGGTGAGGATGGAGGTGATGATGCTATTCATGTTGATGGTGATGGTGGCGATGCTATTCGTGTTGATGGCGACCGTGGATTTGATAATCCACTTGATGATGGCGATGACGATGATGACAATGATGAATTGGATGCCAATGTTGAAGGCGATGATTTAATGTAGTTTTCTTTCTATCATTTCGAACTTTTGTGTGCTTTCATTTCAATGTCAAGAATTTGGATTATTAAACTTGTGTCATTATGTAAACTTAGACCAGCTTGTTGGATTTTTAAGATGATATTTGTGTGACTATGTCGTTTATGAGTTGCTTATGATGTATGTTTATCAACTTATGTTTAAGATGATATCAATCATGATTTATTACAGGTAGTTATTCACTTCTATATAATTTATACAGTAATATTTTATACAACACATGTCGTACTTAGCAAATTTTTAGCTATTTTACAGGATGCCTCAAAAACTTACGCTTTTACGCTTCGATTCTACGCTTTACGATTTTACCCCTTTTCCGCTTCTAGGTAAAATCGCGCTTTTGACTGCATTGGCCCCCTCCACTTCTAGTGGTTATTCCACTTCTGCATCTCATCTTCCCCCTCAAGATTGGCAGCAAGAGCATAAGCAAACTTAAGTCAAAATCTTCCATCACGTTCAAGCCCCCGTGACATTTTGTCCTCTCCGAGCTCAGGGTTAGGTGGTTCTGCACCTGCAATCAAAGATAATAGCTCATTAGGGAGGAGAGGTTGCCGTTTCTTCCAGTTCCACTTACCTGTTTGGGTGACCCAGTTGGAGACTGGTGAATCCCTTTCTCAGTGGTGATCTCCTCACAGAGGTAGTCATCGAGAATAACGCCACAATCAAGCAGGGATGCTTAGAAAAGTTGGTTGTATCCCCATTGCGAATGCTTCAGCAGGAAGCTTCCTTCATAAGAGGCATTGCCTGAACAATAGCTTTCCACAAGCTAGAATGGTTAAATTTTTCATTGAAATAATTTCACCATTTTATGCTTGTAATATTTCCGTTGGATGACTCTAACCCAAAGGTCGTTTTCATTGTTGAAAATATTCCAAGCAAGTTTGATCATATATGCTTTGTTAAGGCTGCACGCATATCTAAGCCCCAAAACCCCCGGCTTCTTAGGTCTACAAATTTGCTTCCAAGACACAAGGTGAGCTTTTCTTTTCCCCTCCTGAGATCCCGAAACAAAACCACGAATTTTCTTATCAATAACATCACACACACTCAAGGGGATAGGGGTTGTCTGCATGACATAGGTGGGAATAACATTCAAAACCGAGATGGCAAGAGTGACCCTGCCAACAAGGGAAAGGGTTCTAGCCTACTATGATGTAAGCTTCTATCAATTCTATCGAGAATGTACTTGTAGGTATTCCTAGTGATCCTCCCATGAATAGCAGGAACACCAAGATACTTACCAAGATCATTTGTTTCCTGTATTCCAAGCTTAGCACAGATATTCTGCCTAGTATTGGTTCTAACATTTTTAGGGGAAAAAAACACAAGATTTTTCTTTACTAACAAATTCACCAAAGGCTAAGCAAAACGAACCAAGGTAGTTAAGACATCATTAGCTTGGTCAGGGCATGCATTGGAGAAAAGCACAAGATCATCAGCGAAGAAGAGCTGGGTTAAAGCAAGACCATTAGAAGATAAAATGACAGGTTTCCAATTCCCTTCCCTACACACTTTCAGAATGCATTGGCTCAGACGTTCAATGCATAAAGTAAAGAGGTAGGATGATAGAGGACAACGAGTGAGAGTATAACTCTTAGATTGCTTGAGTTGGTGTAGCAAGTAGAGACTCTTTTTAGCTAATAGCTTGTGAGGAAGAGAGGTCCTTTGATTTTGGTTATGCAATTATAAAAGCGTTTGAATTCCACCAAAAGAATTCAACTTGGGGTTAGCTTGATAAATAAGAAAAACACTAGAAAACCTAGGTCTCAAAGGGCATACACCTTTGAGCCGAGATGTAATCAATAGATTGAACCCGGTTAACAAAAAATATTGTGTCATCTCTGCGTTGTGCTCCCTTTCTCTGCATATCTGTTGTGTACTATGTTTTCAAGCAACACTTTATTTTGCAGGCAGTGTTGAAAGCGGGAAGGTCATACAAACTTACCGTTGTTGTGTCTTCAGACTGGTCGAGTGAGCTGCTATCACGAATGGGGTAGTGGCTAGGTCCATAGTTTAGTATGGAAAACCATGATGTGGACCAGACCAGAGCACACTAAGAGGTCAATACATCCTATAATATAAACCATAAACCAGATTAGATTATTCTTAATGGTCTATGATCCGTACAAAACTGAACTGTGCGATGCAGTTTGGTCCATAATTTTTTAAATGGTCCGGTCTATTTTTTCAGCCATACAACCTACTACGTTGAATTTTTGTTTGTATTAGTGTATTGCTTGGTCAAGCCATCAGGATTTATCTTGGGCAATGTAGTCAAAATTTCATTTTAAAGATTAAAAATTTACAATTTTTCAATTTTAGAACACCAAAACAGTTTTACATAAAAAAAATTTAAAAAAATTTAGAACACCAAAACAGTGTACTATCTCAGCCCAAATCAGCTTCATATTCGTTGGTCACGCTTGGATGATAGATAATAAATATCACATGATAACAACTTCCACTAAACACAGGGTGTATCTGTATCGTATCCACATTATTAATCAATCACTCATGCAATTTAAATCTCCAATTTTTAAACTTACCGCTTGTTCTTCTGTCACTTATCCGTCAGAAATGCAGCGGAAAAATAAAAATATATTACATAAATTGTGATTACTAAATTGTGTCAAGTTTAATCACTAGAAAAAATTAATATCAAATTTGGTCACTCTAATTACTGAAACAGGTCACGTTTAGTCACTCTCCGTTAGTCTCCGTCCAACTCCGTTAAGGGAGTCTGTCATGTGCTGACGTGGCTAACGGGAGCACCTAGTCATCACCATTTTGGGTCAGAAATGGTCAAACCCGACCTGCCACGTCACTAAACCCGCCATGTCATACACCCAACCCACTAACTCGACCCGACCCAAAACCAAACCCTCGCCCACTTAACAAAACAAGATTGGAAAATCGATCGGGTTAGTGGCCATTTCATACCAAAACCCTTTCTCCTTCCTCGCTTTGCTCCTTTCTTGAATCAATCCCCCACAAATAAATCCCCAAATTCGTCAAAAACCGGAATCCCTAGAAGCATGTACGTTCGATTGAAGCAAGCTGGCGATAGCTCGATGGAAGATTCAGATTAAGAGTATCCAGAACTCGACAAACTGGCAGGTGACTTACTCTAAGCGCCGCAAAGGGCTCTTCAAGAAGGCCAACGAGCTCACCATCCTCTGCGACGCCAAAGTCTCCAGCACCGGCAAGCTCCACGAGTTCATCAACCCCTCCGCCACGTCAGTTTACATCACCTCTACTTTCATTCAATCTCTCCCTTCCTCTCTCCGAAACCCTAGATTCCCGATTCCAGATGAGAGCGAGCTGAATCCGAGTTGATCAGTCTTCGTCTTCGTCTCGGAAGTTTCAATCCAAGCTTGGATAGCACAATTTTTCAATCTCGTTGAGCTGAGCGTCAAATTTTTGCTTTTGTTTTTGTTTGTGTGGTTTGGTTGGGAGCGCAGAAGCAAGGGGATGTTGGATCAGTACCAGTGAGCTCTCGACGTAGAAATCTGGATTACTCACTATGAGGTCCGGTCTCTCTTCATCTACTTCTTCCCTCCTGTCATCTTCCATGTTTGCTGAACGAGAGGACGGACCTCACTCTCCCTCTCCCTTAATCAATCTCTTTGTATGAGTGCAGAAGATGCAAGGTCAATTGAAGGAGATTTTTTATGATGAATTTGGGGATTTTTTTGGTGGGGGAATTGATTCGAGGAAGGAGAAAGGGTTTTGGTCTGAAATGGCCAATAACCCAATCGATTTTCCAATCTTGTTTTGTTCAGTGGGTGAGGGTTTGGTTTTGGTTCGGGTTGGGTGTATGACATGGCGGGTTTAGTGACGTGGCGGGTCGGGTTTGACCATTTCTGACCCAAAATGGTGCTGACTAGGCGCTCCCGTTAGCCACGTCAGCACATAACGGACTCCCTTAACGGAGTTGGACGGAGAGTGACTAAACGTGACCTGTTTCAGTAATTAGAGTGACCAAATTTGATATTAATTTTTTCTAGTGACTAAACATGACACAATTTAGTAATCACAGTGACCAAATGTGGCATTAACCCTATATATATTTATAGGTAGGGAACAAGTAGGAAATAGAAATAAATCAAAATTAAAAAGAATAAAGGTTGGTTTTTTCTTTTTCTGTATGGTGACTCGCACAAGTCACCACCACCACCGCCAAACGAATCCAACGTTTTCCTTTTCCTCCACTCTTCTTCGGGCAACCGGGCAACACCTCATATAGCAAAAAGTACAATCTCAGCGTGTTCCTCACAGCCTGCCCCATGAGCTGGCATCTCATCATTCTCACTTTCCTTCCTCACTTACTCCCCTCAGCTAACACGCAGCAAAGAATAACTAATTACGATTGCCAAATTACAAAAAGATCCCTCAACTCCTCCACCGTCCCTCTCAGATCCTCGATTCCATCAATCAATCGTAAGTGCAGGCATGCTTGAGCGAGATCGTGGCGTTGGCCTTGTTTGGATTGAAGATGTCGCACCCAATCGTCTTGTAGAATCTCGGCTTCACCAGTTTGCCCAGAACGTAAGCTTTGGACCGGACGGTGAAGTTCAGCGTCAGGTGGACCGGCAGCAGCGGCTTCCCGGTGGCCGTGCTGCTCAGCCCTGCCCCGCTACCGTACATTGGGATCTTGTCGCCGGCGATGGATATCGCCACCGACCTCTGGCTACTCCTCTTCTGATAAAACCGCTTCACCTGCGAAATTCACCGTGTTGACTGATTAACACACTTAATTATGCACAAGTTCCATACGAATTGATAATGTTTCGCAGAGATTATAAAAGCTTTACCGCTCCCGTGGCAATTGCGAGCTGTGAGTAGGACAGATCCAGAGGCGTCGAGGTCACGTGGACGCCGAAGAAAGTCCCGGTGTTGCGGTAGATCATTCGGACGGTGGAGTTCACTGTGATCATATCAGTAGCTACTCCGGAGGCGTCGGAGCCGGCTTGGATGTTGAAATGCTCGAACTTAATGCTCTGCAAAACATTAATTAAACCCCAAACTGAGCTACCCAATTGGAAATTACATCTCTA